TTATTTTTATTTTATGTGTATGAGTGTATTGCCTGAATGTATGTGAGTGCCGTCCGTGTTGTGCAATGCCTTGGAGGTCAGAAGAAGGCTTCAGATTCCTCTGGAACTGGAGTTAAGGACAATTCATAGCCACCATGTGGGTGTTGGGAATCGAACCCGGGTCCTCTGGAACTGGAGTTAAGGACGATTTGTAGCCGCCATGTGGGTGTTGGGAATTGAACCTGGGTCCTCTGTAAGAGCAGTCAGTGCTCTTAACTGTTGGGCCATCTTTCCAGCCCCATATTCATGTATTTATAATTTTCTAGTTGAAGACTTGCGTTAACTAGACAGAAGAAAAAGGACAAGTTGCAAATCTCTGATTTATTATGTCCCTCAGTGGCTTACAACTGTTTTTTTTTGGTTTTGTTTCTTGACCAAAATTTAAAGTATTCTTATATGCTTCAGGAATTATAATCACTGTGACTTTTTTTTAACACTTCCCCTCCCCATTTAGAGATTTGTTGGACTGTCTGTCACATCTTGTTAGCTAATTCTTCTTTACAGACTTAATACAATTTGAACATGCATGGCAATCTGATGCTCCAAATTTTAGATGTTGGAATTTTGGGTTAAGGAGATCCAACTTGTGAAGTCTATGTAAATATTTCAAAAATTTGAAAAACTCAAAAAAAAAAAAAAGTCTATGCCACTTCTAGTCCTAAGCATTTTGGATAAGGGAACACTAAACCTGGACTTTGTCTGCCAGCTGTTAGCGCCCTCTGGCCTCCTGTCTGAGGAGAGCAGAATCCTTGTGTGATTTCAGCCTACCAGGCCAAAGGCTTGCAATGACTTCTTTATCTTGCCCAGGAGGGAGCATCACTCTAGAACTCTCCTGGTTACAATCTAGATACATCATTAGTCTCTTCTCAGTGCTGAAGATGAGGGTGAAAGGAGAAATTAATCTCCATATTTTAAACTAAGCATAAGATACCTAAATGGGCTGCATTTTGTACCACCCATATGGGGAACTATACTTTTAATATGACTTTGTGACTATTTCTGTCTTAGAGTAAAAAAAAAAAAAAAAAAAGCACCCACCAGCTTTAATTACTTTAAAACTGATATTTCTAAGTTTTAAATGTATTAAACAAATAGCCCACCCACCTTTTTTTTCCTTCATCCCTCACTGAGGAACAGTTAATTGTGTACTGTGATTTGAAGGATTTGAACCTTTACATGGATTTATGTTCACAGAGAAGCAAATTGGTGGTTTAGGATTGTTTTTAAAGATATGCATGGAAAGCAGGCAGTGTATATTATGAGGTCACTTTTAGGGGAGATCCTCCAGTGTTGTGCTTTTTGCATTGTTACATGATTTTCCAAAAAGATATTATTCTGTCCACCCCCAATTTGTCTTCCACGTGCCAAATCTTTTATTTTTAGGAAAGAGTGAAGGTTTTCCTAATCAATAGTAAATGGAGTGCTAATAGCTTTTAATTAGTCCTCTTCTGTATTGACTTACAAACACGGCATTATTTTGCAATTATGATTTAAGAAATGAAGCGACCCCTTTAGTAATTTCATTCTAAAGAGATGATCAGGAGAGGTATTTTCACCTTTGTGTTTTTATGGTTTGTACATAAGTCTAATTAAGGGAGAAAATAATTTTTTATGTTATTTGGTTTTTTATGACAAGCCAAGAATACTGGTTTTAAAATGAAAACTTTTTGTTGTAGTTTTATTTTCATAGGTGTTCATAAACACTTTGGGAAGGGTATATTTTATTTTTCAAAAGCACTGACTTTTATATTTGTTCCTTGAAAGAATTCTTCCCTCACTGTCCTTTCTCTTCAGTCTGAAGCTGGTGCATAAGGTTTATCAGGCCAACATCTGTAACGATGAAAAGGAGGCCGCTGATGAGAGAAGAAAAGTCAAGCAGGTTTAAGACTCGTTTTCTCTGGAAAAATATATTGAGGGCAATTTGCAGCTGGCAAGATTTTCGCATTAGGTAATAGTCTAAAGTTAACAGTAGCATCAGGTCTTTAAAATTTTTCTTTTTTATATTTCTGGAGGAGGGTAATGGGAGTGCCTTGCTGAGGCCTTCCTTGTGCTCATCAGCATAGCAGCCTCAGCTGCCCCCCTTGGATCCCCTGCCAGGGCTGCTATCATCTTCTGATCAAATATTAATGTGTGATCCTCTGCTTGCTCACTAATCCAAAGCCAATTAATATTATCTGTCAATTATTTACAGATCCTGAGGTGCAGAGGCAATTCCCGGAGGACTACAGTGACCAGGTTCGGAATGCGTAATTAATTTTTTACATGACAAAATTTATTTCAGAGTTGTTCAACATATTACTACTGTTCTTTTTACTGAAAGAGATAAATGCATTTTTAGAAAGGAATAGAGGCAGTAATTAGGAAGCAAAGACAAAAAGTAAAGCATATCGGAGTCAGATTGAAAACATTAGTGCTAGATGTGGGGTGTGTCCTTCAGGAGGGAAATACAGCAGCTAAGCAAGGAGGATCTATCACAAATACCGCTTTTTACTTTGAGGTATGTTATGGCCTGCAGTTCAAAAGGAAATTCTTTTTGAATTGCCTGTGAACTTTTTTTTCTTTTAATACTGTTTAGGCAAGAGGAAGTATGA